GGAGCAAAATCCTGGGGCTTGGAAAGCCCAACCATTCACCCTGATCTCAGGGCTATGTGCTTCCTACCTCAGACCCTGACTGAGATATGTTTAGTCACTTCCCCCCATTCCCAGATGGACAGTCCCCCACTGCCTGTGGACCCACCAGCCCCCACTGATCCTTCCAAGTGCCCCTCCCCAGACCCACCAGCAGCTTCCTCTCCTGATCCTACCCACTCCTTTTCCACCCTGAGTTATTTACATCAGGTTTCTCTTGTGGCTCCTGGCACTGGCAAACATCTGTACACGCTGCTCCTGGTCTATGATCATGTGGCTTACTTTAAGGTATGTGATTGTAGACAGGGTGCAGCCATTTGTATGCACCCTAAATGGAACAGAGTTCTATCAAATGCCTTGGCTTTGAGTGATTTCTGAACCACGCAGCAGAAAGATACATTAATAGGATTCTAAGCAAAATCTACTTTTACTTCAGCACATAATTTTTCCTGCCAGGTTTTAGGGAATGGCACTGAAACCACAAGTTAATAAGAAATTTTATTCAAAATAGAAGCTTTCTCACAGGTTAATTTGCATTATTAGATGGCAGAGATTTTAAAAATAATTTAGAGTAGTGAATTTGATTCAGTGAAGCATTTCAGTAACCACCTTTTAACTACAAAAATGCTTTTCATCTAGCTTTTCTTGTAGGTTAATATCCTGTTATCTTAATCTTGCAGGCCTATCAAAAGATACCTTATAAAGTGATACTGGTCATGCAGTGTAAGATATTCAGCCTTGTCTCTTCTGCCATGCCTAATCAAGTTAATTCTATGTAAAGAAGTGGAAGTGTAAGGAAGAGTGTTTGTTTTTGTTTGTTTGGTTTTTTTTACATATTTCCTTTTATGTTCCCTCCTGCTACCTAACCATTTTTGACAGCTCTTTTTTGAACGTCTGGTTTGTCAGTACCTTTTCAATAATAACAGCACCAGAACTGAATGCAGTGGTTCACAACAAAGTTGTATAAGGAGAGATAATACACTTTTTATCCCCTGGCCTGATGTCCTTTTCCAAAGAGCCCAAAATGACAGTCACCATTTTTTTGCTGCTATGTCCTATTTCAAACTTAGGTTCAATTTTCATTCTATTATCACTGTCTATTTCAATGTTGCTACTTCCTGGTTTCTTCTTCCAATTGAATATTTGCTTGTTGAGCTATTTTCTCCTGGTGAACTAGCCTTCATTTTGCATGAAAAAATAGAAAGCAGCAAGTAGGGAATCCAGGAAGGATGGTGTTGCAATCACAAAATATTGGAATAATGAATTTGGGATATTAAATCTCATGTTGTGTATATGACAATAAAATAAATCTATGCATCGGCTGTGTATGTGTATACACATATTAGAATAACAGTCAGATGGCTCAGGCAGGATCTGATCTTTCTGTAATAAGTGCTTTGTAAACTAATGGAAGGACATTGACCCCATCCCAAAGAATTTGTTCCTTTTTACTGGGCTTGTCTGCACGTGAATTTAAGCAGGCTTAAATTTAATGCACATGAAGCTAATACACATTAAGTGTTTTTGGCATGTGTCTACACATGGTGGAATTGGGATTACATTTAGTCCCAGGTCAGTGCAGCCCTGCCATGTACCCCTGTGGCCACTGGGGGGAGCTCAAGCCTTCAGATGCAGCTGCCAGCACTTGGCAGTCACATTGAAGTCAGAGCCAGCGCCAGCTGCCAGCACCCAGCAGCCATCTTGAAAGCACACCCTGACACTGTGTCAGAGCATAGTGTGACAGAGACACAGGTAGCATGTGCCTACTCTGCTTCTGCCACAGCTGTGCAAATGCTAGGGACTCCTGAGGGCAAGAGGCAGGTGCCTGCTGTGAAGCAGCAGGCAGGACCCAGGGCCCTGCCTGGCCAGCTGCTGCTGGAGCAGTTCCACATGGCACTGCTCCTGGGCCTCCAGCTGGGCCCAATGCACCTGCTATGGCTGGCCCCGTGCCTCCTCGCAGGTGGTCTCCTGAGTGATGTCCTCATCTCACCCGGCTATCTCCTGCACCTGCTGCCATCCCTCCTCCTGAACTACCCAGTTCTCAACTGCTTCTACCAGCCGCTGGAGCAGCAGGATCCAGTCCCTGGTGTGCCGCTGATGCAGACAGCACATCTAAGGAGCTCCAGCAGCTGGTGGCAGTGACCCTGCTACAGCACTCCCACAAGGCCCTGTAGTCTCTCCCCTGCATACAGATGTTGACCCTGCAGAGGCAAGAGATAGAAGGCTGTGTGCAAATTTGCAACATTGCAGAGATAAGATGCTCTGCAACAGGAGCCCTCACTGCCCAGCTGCAGTCTGCCTCCCCTGCTCCCTTCACAGGGCATTCCAGGCCAGGCTGCTGGCAGCACCAGACTCCACTCTCCACCCCCTCTCCCTGGTGGCCAGTAACTCTGATGCACTGCTGCCCAGGGCTTTGGGGTACATGGGGCTCCTGGACAACTGTGGTGAGAGGCTGGCCTTGCCCCCACCCTCCCTACAGGGGGCCTCTCTGGGGAGACACCCTGGGGCCAGCCCCACCCTCCCGCTGCTGCTGTGCCCCAAGCATGCCCCTGGTCTGCCCCAGGCAGTGCATGATGAGCTGTTTGTGCAGGCAGAGAGCTCCCTGAACCACTATGCCCTGCTGCTGCTGACCCTACTGGAGCCCCAGGCAAACCTGCACTTCTGGCTTAGGACCCTGAGCTATGATGGCATGGGGGACAACCTCCACCACCACCTGGAGGGCTACCTGTCATAGCACTACATGTCCCTGACCCCCTGCTTCTGAGGAGGACATTGCTGCTGGCATCAGTGCCTTCCTCGATGTGATAGTCCTGTGCCTGTGCAGCTGTGGGGACACGGGCTGCTCAATAAAGTTTGGAACTGTCCTGTCTCTCTGTGTGCTGTGGGGGCAGGAACCTGGGGCCAGGAGAGCATGGCAAGGCCAGGAAGGGTGTGGGGGCAGGGACAGGGGCAGGGGCAGGGGTGGGGCCAGGGTCTAGGAGGGCCCTCCCCCAGTGCAGGATTTACCATGTGTCCAGGGCTGGCAATGATAATGGCTTGGCATGGGGCTCTCCATCAGTAATGGTGTTCAGCTGTGTCCATAGCCTGCGGTGAGCATCAGGCTGGCACCCAGTCAGGACTTCCACCAGGCAGGAGCTGACTGGCTGCTCCTCATGGTGTGGTGTGGGGCTGGGCTGAGGGCAAGGCAGCTGCTGGGCAAGGCTTCACGAGCTGCCAGTGGATGCAGCAGCCAGGGAGGTGGGCAGGGCATGGCAAGAAAGGTCCAAGTTCACCTCTTCCAGTGACATGTCATTGGAGGTATCAGAGCAGAATACAGGCAAGGACAGGCTGCCCCTGTGGGTGGCACTTGCAGGGGTGTGGCCTGTCTCCCAGGTTGCCAAAATGTGGGTCAGGTCCTGCATGAAGGGCATGGTCTTACTGGCACGACTGGGCCAATGATTGAATTTGGCCATGGCCACCCACTGTGCCCACAAGACCTTGGCCTTCACACAGCATTGCTGCGCCATCTGGGAGTAGCCTCGTGCAAGCACCCCAGCTGAAATGGCCTAAAAAATGTGGGCATTTGAGCATCCACTCCATGCAAACTGCCTCTGGACATTGGCCTCTCCCTAGAATGCTATGAGGTATGGGTATGGGCACAAGGGTGGGGCCAGGCCTCAACAGGGAGGATGTGCTGGACATGCTCCCTGTGCTGGCTACCTTGGCCCTCGTGCAGCTGTCCCTGCAATGCTGGCCCTGGAGGACTGCCAACAGCACCTAGGACAGGGGCATGGCCAGGGATGGGGAGACGCATAGCAGAGACATTTCACCACAGTACCTGCAAAGAGATAGAGCTGGGGGTAGGCAGGAGCAGGAAGCAGGTGCTGGCCCTGCTGCCATAGAGAGCAGGGCCAGCAGCCCTAGGAGGAATCTCAGGGCTGGGCAAGGGACGCAGCAGTCTGTAACCATTTGCAACACTCACCTGTGGCCAAGGAGCAGCTCCAGCTAGGGGACAGGACAGGCATAAGCTGCCAGGGTCCTGTCGAGGGTGGCACTTGGGGCCTAGTGGACTCCTGAGCACACCAATAGGCTTGTCCAAGCTCCTGGTGTGTGTGCCCCAAGGCACAAAATGGCTGGAGGCCTTTATAGCCTGCAACTAGGGGCTGCCAGAAAGCAGCCCAGGCCTGGAGCAGGAAAGGTGACCAGCCACAATCTCTAGGGCTCAGCTCTGACCAGCTCTCTAGTATCTCGGCAGATGTGGCACTGAAGGTCCCATGTTAATGTGCATTGATGCATCTACATGTGTGTTAATGTGCTTAGCTAATTGCACCTAAATATGGTACCTGCTTTATGCAGGTATATAATTTAGGCTGGATTAGCCTAAAATCACCATTTTTAAGGTGCATTAAGGGCGCACACATGTAGATGCATGCCCTTAATGCGCCTTAAATTGGGCTAATGTGTATTAATTGCCCACATGTAGACACACCTACTCTGTCTCATTTTGGACTGCATTTCTGTCCTCCATGGTCAGTTTGATTATAGAGAGGTTTCTTATGCTCTAATCTAAACTCTGGGAGACTAATTCACATTTTTGCCTGTTCAGTCTTTGGCCTCTCTCTTTCAAATGATGGTGGTGACAAAAGTTTTGGGATGTTGACAGCTCTCAGCTGGGAATTGAATAATTCCCCTCCCCATGCTCTACCATCCGTTTTACCCTAAGAAACTAAGCACAGCTCTCAGACATTAGCAAGTTTGATCTCTACTTACCTGGTCTGCATTATCAAGGGTGACTTAGAGTTGAAAGGTTTGATACCCCATTATCAGAAATCTAGAGTAGTAGGTTACCTTAATACCTGGGCTGAGAGAGATTGCAATTAGGTATCACATAAATTTAATTTGACACTTGCTATTCATGACTAAATTGTCACTTATACTCTTGATGAAACTGTGTGTCATCTCATATCTTCTTTTTTTTTCTACAGGACTTACAGATTATCAGTACTGATGAAAACCAAGTGTTTGTGGCTGTTCAGGAATGGTACCAGACAGACACCTATAACTTATACCAGTCTGATCCACAGGGTGTGTACTACTCTATTTTACTAGAGAATGTCAGGAGCACTAAACAGCCAGAAGAGAATGTCCTGATAGATATTTTGGAGGTAAGGCACCAAGGCACCATATAGATATTAGACTTTTGTTGTTTTCTCTCTCTTCCCTTTCCTCTATTCTGACCAGCGATTGTAATACTGAAAACTCTTAATTTTATGTTTATAATGTTCTCCCTAGTATTGTTGAATGGCAAGAAAGAAGTAGAAAGTTGTTACTACTATATTATAAATTCTTCCTCTCTCTTTTCTTCCTAACTTGTTAGTTGGTTTTTAAGTATTTAATATTCTTGCTAGGAGATTCCGAGGATGTGGAATATAAAATTGGTAGGTTTTATTTTCTCCCGCAAGTAGCAAGCTATAGTTCGCTTTCAGATCTTGAAGAATAAAACTGTAAGTCTAGGTGGGCATGTCTAAACATGCCCCCATGGTGCTGTTGTTACTGTGCCATCATTTAGTACTTCCTTTTGGAGGTACTTTTGGAATACTAAATGACGTAGCAGTAGCAGTCCATACTGCGCCATGCCGGCAGCACACAGCTATTTTTAGCTGCTATGTCACCATAGCAACACACTATACCAAGGGAGTGCATTGCTACAGTAATGTAGCTGCAGAATCACAGTTTGTGCTTGCTGATGCTACATCACCATAGTGTGTTGCTGTGGCAACATAGCATCACATGTAGACATAGCCAGTTAGCCCAATTTATTATGGAAGGTGGGAGTGTAAGAAGCTATGTAATTGCCTTAGGTAACAACATTTTGCTTTTAGGTGAGATAGTGAGACACTTCGGACATGTCTACATGAGATGTTTACTGCAGTTGTCTAATTAGCTCTGCAGTAAAGTCTCAGCATCTAAACATGAGCACCTACTACAGTGCAGTAAACTAATAAACGCTACAGTAGGATAATACTTGTCAACACAAATACTATCCTATGGTGGGGTTATTTAGAGTGCCACAGTGCACATGTGGACCCTGATGGGGCTTGCTGGGGCATGAGGGTGCTTCAGTGTGGGGGTGGTCTGCCAGCCAGCCCCGCACTGGAGCACCCTCATGCCCCAGCCAGTTCCTCCACAGCACATTGAGCTAGGTTGGAATGGCACCAGGCTGGCAGGCTTTCCCCCCCAGGCTCCCTTCCAGCCAGGACTGCTGCAACCTGGCTCAATGTGCTTCAGTCCTGGGCACATGTTCAAACAGTATGCCTGGGAGCAATAAACTCCAGCACAACTGTACTGGAGTTTATTCATTCACATTAATTGCACATGTAGACATGCCCTTTGTGGCTTTCTTTTATATTTCATTTGGTAGCATTTCTGCTGGTAAATTTTTTTTTTTTTAATTTCTGAAGGGTTAAGAAATATAATTATCAGTTTACTGTGACAATTAATTCATTGAACTTTTCTTCAATATTTTTGTGTCTTTCATCTAGAAGTCTTTCAGCCAATAGGGTCTAAATAAATGGCAATTATTTGAACCTAGTACTAGGCCATGGATGTCAACCTTGACAAATAAAGAGCCAGCAACATTAGATTTGAGTCAGACCACAGATCCACTTGCTTCCCATAGAGAAGCTACTATGTGAGAAGCTATCCTTACAGACTACTCAGCCCTGAATTTTAAAATTGCAGCATTGGCTAAAGAAAAGGATACTAGGAAAAACAGCAATTTAGGAGAGGGACAGAGATAGAGATCAGGAAAATGATGAAAACACTTGAATTCAATAGCCTGCCTTCCTGCAACTCTAAAATATGCTTTTACTAAATGCTCCAGACTTCTTTGTAATGCATGCAAAATAATTTCAGAATAGTGACCCGTATGCTGTCAAAATTCTTTTCTTATATACTGTAATTGGAAGGGGGAAATGATGGTATGCATAAATGTTTCTTAGTGCCTCCTCTTTTGTTTAACTCTGCTCATTCCACCAGGCTGTAGTGAGACAAAGAACAGGGCATAACTATCACCCTGCCAATTTAAGGGGGATAGTAGCTTAACATGATTATCTTACAGTATAGTTTAAGTCAGAAAGAACCTATGGAAAAAGTGACTCACTTAACGAAAAGAATTGTCCCTTGCATGCTCATGGGTCATCAGCGTAACTCAGAAGGAGTAGACTAAGTTTGCTTCCTTCTCCTGCATCATCTAGCACAGGGCTGGAAATCTCTAGCTACCATGGGTTGCTGCTTGCAATCCAGGTTTGCATGCCTTGGCAAGTAGCAGATGCTGAGTAGGGCCTAGATGGAGAAAGGCAGGTGGTAGGACCCTCTGCTGCTCTGGCTGGATTGTGCTGCTGATTCCCCCCAGCCTGCTGCAGGCTGGATCCAGCCTCTGCTATAGGTTGCAGATCTAAGGTTGCTCTAAGACAGTGGTTCTCAACCCTTTTTGTAGCAGGACCCATCGCCCCTCACTCTTGACTCTTTTCCCCCCAGGCCTCAGCCCCCCAGTGTGTGGGACAGGGGGTCAGTGTATGGAGTGGGGGGGTTCGGTGGGGTATGGGGGTCCCCAAGTAGTCCCTTGCAGGCTGGATCTCTGCCAGCCTGCAAGGGAAAAGCCATGGTTTCCCACATTTTTCTCCTTTAAGGGAGAATCCATTTTTAAAGTTTGTTCGCCACCCTTTCATATATTCTTGTGACCCATTTTTGGGTCATGACCCATAGGTTAAGAAACACTGCTCTAAGAGAGATGTTCTCAAACTCAAGGTCACAAAGAGGTGCTAGAAGGCAAATCCACTCTGCTCTTCCCTTACCCCTGAATGGAAACCCAGAAGTTCATAATCAGTGATCTACAGAATTATTTACTAAGCTCCAGTCAGTTTTTGTCAAAGTTAAGGGAGCTGCACAAGTGGCAGTCACTAAGGGAAGAACTAGCCTGTGGAATTTGTTTTTATTGGCAATGTGTAGGAAGAAAATATCCTAGATTAATTTGTATGCCAGACTGAGTCTCAGGATTACATTAGGGAAAAATTAATTATAAACTAAGAGCATTTGGCATGCAATGATTTAGCAACAACTAACATGAAACCCTGCAATGCCAGTTTTAAAAAGTCAGTTTTCAGAGAAGATCTGCATTGAACAGAAATAAGCATGCCTACCTAAATTTAGTAAGCTTAAAATTTGCAATGTATAATTAATGTTTGTCATCTTTTCTAAAATGTGATGAACTAATATTTTCTAGTGAAATATTTTTAGGGGTGATTTATTTGCAGTATACAAAATAGTTAATAAAAATAAGATGTTAGTATATTCTGGGATGCAGTTTTTTTCTCTTGTTTGGGATTTCTTCCAGGGCATTTCAATAAAAGTGTCTCATCTTGGGGAAAAAGGAATCTTGAACTCCAAATAGAGACAATCCTCATGGATTAAGAATTTCTCTTTCAACCAATGCATAATTCTGCTTCAAATTTTCACTGTTGGTCTTGATTATCTTCCACTGGCCTCATTTAATCTTTTACATGTGCATCTGCTTTAAAACCTTTCATAGGCTTTCACCTGCCTGCATTCATTTTCCTTGATATACTTTATCCCTTTTGTAGCACACATCTTTTCTGCTCTTGTTGCATATGTGCACAGGGAATAACCTCTAAACTAAATGCTTAAAAAAAAAGGAAAGGAGAAAAGGAAAGGAAAGGAAAGGAAAGGAAAGAGCTGACTGTTCAAAGGCAGTATGGTCTTGATATATTGTACCAAATACTGTCAAAGTGAACCAGGCACGTTGCTGGTGTAGATAATAATACAGAGAATGTTGGGATAATGTTTCAGGGTCCAATCCCCAAATAAAAGGGACTTCTCATATGAAGAAAGGCCACAGAACTGGGCCCTTATTTTATAGAAGGCACATCATGCAAATTATTGCTTATTTTAGGGTTCATACTGCAAACCCCACTCATACATTTAGTCCTTGATCATTCCAGTTAGTTGCATTGACTTCAGTCAGTTAATTATGAGTATTTTTACAATTCTCCAATTATTCTGAGCCCATTGTCACCATAACATAAAGTTGATAGAGAAGGTGCTAGAGAATCACAGATTACTGGTAATCTGGTAGAACCTACAAGGAGCACACTTATCCATTAGTGCCATAGAGGAAGGAGGAGTCACTCACGGTCACACAGCATGTCAGTGACAGATCTGGGAATGGGATCTGAGTCTCCTGGGTTCTAGGCTGGTATCTTTGCTACTGGGCCATCCATTTTGTAGTCAGTGTGCACAACAAAGAACTGTCTTAAATTTCCCTCCCTCCCTCCTCCTTCTCTCTTAGGCACTTGTTCTGAGCTATCCGATACTCATTATGATTTGCATTGTGGTGGATTATAGTCAGGAACCCACACTGATTTGGGTGCCTAAGGGTGCGTCTATACATGATGCTATGTGACCATAGTGTCGTGGAAACACACGCAGCATACTTTTGGGTCAGGTCAGCAGAAGCTTTTATTCAAAAGAAACTACAGCTGTAGGGGGGACTCCAAAGTGACATGGATCTCCCAAGCACTTGGAAGGGGTCCCCCCCCAAGAGCAAAATCAGGAGGCTTATATACTTTTTAACAGTTGCTTACAACTCACGTGATCATATAGTGAAATTAGCATGAAAAGCGGCTATAATATTACTTCATTATTTCTTTGCTGTAATCAGGATGGGAACTAATGGGGGAGGCGAGGTTAGTTCACAAACCTCCTTCTTGCACCTGCAAATCAGAGTTGTACATACTTTTTGCTATCTTCAAGGCCGCGGTGAGCGAAGCAGTTGCAGAGGAGTTACAAAGAACAAACACTTTCTCTTATCTGTTCTATATACAGAGCCAGCAATTCTCCACAAAGCGGTTATGTCATCTTATAACTAAAATAGTCAAAGTTTAAGGCATATATTTTTTTCTGATTCCACAGTTCCCCCCCTTTGAGACTATTTAGTCTCACTTTACCCTTAAATTTTTATTCTCATGAGCCCCTCTATTTCATCGTGCAGCCTTTCATGTTTTCTTTCAATCTGCTCACACTTTTGTAACACCATTATTCTAGACTCTGCTGTGGGTTTTCTTGCCTTGCTAAAGCTTCTCCTGCT